GTTGGGGGGTGTGAGGGGTGTGTTAATGGTGTGGCCACTTAACTGCAAATAGCTAATAACATAATACTATACTAACAGACTTACTTTTTTTAAAAGTTAAAAACTTAAAATTACCGTTGCTATGCGCCTTTTTTTTTTAAAGGGCGAAAATATTTTTACAGATCCCGCGATTAAAAAAATTAAAAATACTTCCGCGAAAATCAAATTAATACGGTAAAAGATGGCAGACTGCATAAATACGCAAGATAAAAATCCATTAGATCAATATAATTTATAGCTATGCTATAGCCCTAGAAAAAGGCGCCCCAAGGTAACACAATTGTCTTCTCTTGTAACATTATTTTTAAACAATAATTCAAAGGTCTACTATTGATATGCACATAAATACTAAAACTGTTCCTTAATCCTTTTCAAACTAAGCAGCTGTGAGCTTCTTTAAAGAGCCGATACACTGAGCAATATTATCATCCTATCATAAAAACAACTAAAATAATTACTGATCTCCTCTCTTCCTCACTTGTTTGCTAGTAAGAGACTTATATACATTCTCCTGTAGCCATGATACAAGGTGCTTCTTCTCGTATTCTTTCTCAAGGTTTTCAAGTTGGAGCTGATACTCCAGACGCCTCATGACTTCCTTCCTAATGTCTGACAGCTGGACCCTGTATATCTCCTCTCTCTTCATCAGTGCCTCTTCCTAAACAAATAATAATAAAAAATAAATAATAATAATAATAGTAATGTTAATAACAATAATAAAACTAATTAATAATATATTGTACATGAACGTTGCTTGCTAAAATTGCACTCAAACTAAATATTAATAGTTATTAATATTATATTCTCCTTACTCTTAATATCTCATAGAGGTCATCACGAATAGACAGTTCCTTCTCAAGATTATTAGCAGCTGCTATCTCATCAGTCAACTGAGTGATGGTAGCATTCTTAGCCGCATTCATCTCATCCAGAATACCCTAAACAACAACAACAACAACAACAACAATACAACAAAAAACTTGTTTATCATTACCTGTGCTCTGTTGTCAAAGAACTCCCTCAGTTGTCCACCAACTCTTCTCATTAAAAGAAAAATGACACCAAAAACACTGATTCCTACTAGCGTCTAGAAATAAAGGTGGGTGTGGTCTCGGTTAATTAATCATTAATAATACCTCAGCATGAAATACTAATATTTCTTTAGAATACAAAGTAGCTACTAAACCAATGCCGACTATGTGCTTTCCAGTTTCTCCTGTCTTCTCCTTCAATAGGCTCGTGATACCTTTTATAATAATAATAATAACACAAGTCTTCCTTGCTACACTGACCAGGGAATGAAGAAGGTTGAGGTTGTAGCTCGTTTTTCACTTGGCTCGTAGTATTAACTGGTCGTAGAGCACAGACAGAGCCATCTAAAAGTATAAGAGAGGCTTTAAGTACATTATGAACATTTAGTCTTACACCAGGGCCTCATATAGCGACTGGAGGAGAGGAGTCCTCTGACCGCCATTTTGTTTTGCAAATGATCACGTGACAAACAAATCAAACCACGCCTACCCAATGAATAATTAATTAGATCACTAAATTAATTAGACTAATTATGATAATTTCTGCATAAAATCATAGTAAATGAAAAAATCAAAATAATTATTATTAATAATATCCAGTCTTAAGGATCTTATTTATACCACGGTGGGTGAAAGTGAGGTGGTGAGCGAAAACCACCTCTGTGATCACTAAAGTCC